AAACTGAATTACCTTGAAATGTCCGAGTTCTAGCATGATAGTCTTAAATGTTCTTGTTTTCCATTTCATTTTATCAAACTTGTGCCATGGCCGAGGATGTCGAGGTCTCTCTTGATCAACGTCGGACAGACCAAGGTTGTAAAACATTACTCCAGGGCTATGTCTGTGGTCTTCTTTATCCATTGTAGGATCAAACGAGAACACGTTACAACCATACTCCGCCATCTTTTCATCAAACGAAAAGTCATTACCAATCCTATAAGAAGCAGTAAATAATGCAGTAAAATTGGAAAGTAATGCGTGAGCAATTAACGGATCGGTTTATCGTAAAATAAACAAATAAAGAAGCCGTAACTGTGCTCGGTTCCGTTGTAAAGCACTTAGAAAGCGGCTAGAGCGGGACTCAAGAATTAATTGTACAGGGGAAACACGAGACGTGATCACGAGTGTTTCTCCCTACTTCTTTCGTGCTGTAGCCGCTCCTGATGGCTTTAAAACAGAACAGAGCGCAGTCAAAGCTTTTTTATTTGTTAATTAGAAGCAAAATAAGCGTCGCATTGTTGCTGCAGCCAATTATCGCTAATTCGGGGGTAGCGATAATTTGGCGGCGGCCGTCTTTGGAGCACTAAATGTGGCAGTTGATATAGCGTTTATTTTCTGACTTTGAATTCGTTTGGTTCTTGAACTAGGATGCAACTGGACAAAATTGAGAGGGAAAAATGTAGAAAACAAAAGGCCATTTCCGAGTATGAAAAACTCTCACTTTCAAAACTAGGCTAAATGCAAAACCTTTCTTGTGAAAGCTTGAAAATTAAGAGTGATTTTCATATCAATCGCGCGTTTCTCACTTAGCCTCGCTTTAAAAAAGAGGCTCCCACAACTCGAAACGGCCAAAAATCACTTACCCAAATGAATACACAACACATGATCTGGGATTTAGCTGAACTTGCTCGTCAAAACAGACGTACCACATGCCATCGGGGCCAAAAGAACCGGCAGCCCGACTGGGCTTTTTTGTGAGTCCCCCTACGCGACGTAGATCGGAGCATACCGTCCCCGGGGTTGAAATACTCTTTATAACTCTTTCTCTTTCTTTCCCAGTAAACAATTCCTCGCAAGGCCTGGTGTCTAGGTATAGTGGCGTGACGTTTGTGTTGTAGATCGTGACAACCATGGTCACCACAATTATACTACCCACAATCCATAGAGGTCGTTGATTCATTCTACGGAGGTAATTACAAACAGGCATCAAAAATGAACTCGTACCATGTTTTTGACCTTTGAGCATGAATAATTTATTTTATTTATCGCAAATTGCATTCGAAATCACTTGATAGCCTACATTAACAGGGAGCTTTAGCATCGACGACGGCAACGGCAGCGATAACGTCACTTTTAAAACGAATTCACGTTTTTCAAACTTTGTCGCTTTTATTCCAACTTGCTTAAAATGGCAAATGTAGGTGAATTTCCTTGGAGTTGATTTCTTGAGGAGCGCACTAAACTTAAGAGGGAGAAAAAGAAATACGTCGTCTCTTATTTACGTCCTCCATAAAACTTGAATTAGGCTTTTTCACGTCGTAGTCGTGCAAGGACGGTAAATAAATGTACAAAAGGTGTGATGTACGTGCAAAGTTGTTGTTTTGCGTAATATATCTATTGCTTTTTTGGCGTCTTCGTTGCCGTCGCCGTCGCCGTCGTCGTTGCTAAAGCTCCCTAATAGCCGAGCTCCACGCGCGCCCGAAGCGCGCGTAAGCCGAGCCCTGATTATCTATCTATCTGAGAAATTTTGGTAGTCACGTGATCGTAAGCCTGTCCGTCCGTCCGCACTACAGGGCAACCAATGTGAAGTCTCTCACACTTTCTAGCTACTGTCAGAGTCTGCAATCTTATATTGCACATCGGTGTTGTGGTTAATTGTCAGCTGTCAAAACAGGGTATCGCTGACTAGTATCACAGGACAGGTTATGGGCTCCTGCACAGGACTTTATCTTGGGCTCAGATGTCGACTCCTCGAGGTTACCGGCCTTTTATTAAGTTATCCGCTGATAATTTACTAGCTTTCAACTGATCGCAGGCTCAACTCCAAGCGGATATTTTTGCAACGGTTTCAAGTTTATTGTTTGAAGTAATTACAAATTTATCAGCGGGAGTTTCGTCTTTAGCCTTGGCTAAATCTAGCTATTATCATCCTCCCTGGCATTTTAGCATTTACCAAGAGACTATAAAGGGGACAGAGAGGCCATCCCCCATATACACCCTATTCCACAGGTAATTCGTCTCGAGTTATTTTTAGAATCGGGATGAAGTTACCTCGCGCGAGGCGTGGATGTTTCGTGGAGGCTTCGCATGACCAAACGCCGTGCAAAACATGTCGGGCGAAAGGCAGTGAAAGCGTAAAAAGATCGAGAGCATTCCTGAATATTGAAGCGAAATGAGTCGGCGCTCACCTGGGAAAAAGGAATCGCTGGACTCTTTGACAACCCGTGAAATCAGTTTAACTCGAAGTTGTCGTAACCTGAGTGCTTTAATAAAATGAGAAATTTCGCCGGTCTATTGAAACCGGTCGTTTGTACAATTTAGGGAGTTTAAGATCCAACGACGCGGACGACAACTAGAACGTCAAAAAAACAATAGGTTTAATTAGCAAAACAACAACTTCGCACGTGCAACACACTTTTTTGTTCATTTCTTTCCCGTTTTTGCACGACTACGACGTGAAAATGCCTAATTTCGCGTTTTATGGAGGACGTAAATAAGCAACGACGAAATTTTATTTCTCTTTCTGAGCTTGAATATGGTCCCTTGAAATTCAGCTTTAGGAGGGTTCGCCTACAATTGACAAAGTAAG